GGACCCATAGTATAATTTCTTTTCTGTTGAGATTAACCCTGACTTTTCAAATACATATTATCAATCAACATAAGACTAGTCTGAAACATGAAATGTTAATATAGTAATACATGAAAAACGATGAAGTGGATCTGCTTGGACGTCACAACAACAACAACAACAAAAAGTTCAAGGAATAGTTTATTCTTCAACTAAATTAAACATTGACGATGATAGAATTATCAATCGATAGATGATCATCGAACAAAATTCTAATTTGTTTTAAGGATAATCAATGTAAACTATGAGCTTTTCATTCTTGAGCGTGTGGGTGGCTGGTGTGGATGTGGGTGGGTGTGGGTGTGGGTTATTCTCCTTTAATCATCCACGCCCTGTCGGCGGTGACTGGTCAGTCAACCAGTTTACACTAATAATTATAAGCATAATACATGTTGATCATAAAGTGTTGGTATGGATGTGGATATTCTTTATAATCACAAGCAAGGTCCATATTCTTGTGCACACTCTATTTGAAATGAACTTCCTTGTATGAGAATTTTTTTTTTCGTTGTTCTGTTATCTTGAATGTTTTAATTTTGATAAGTGTAATTTCTCTTCACAAAGCCCACAGTTGAAAGATATTAAAATAAAACGAACGATAGAAAAAGAAGATAGATAAAAAAAAGTAAAAAGATTGCTTTCTGCCAAAAATAATAAACGAATCATTCGACTCACTCTCAATTAACATCCACACGCATACCTTTCAGCAGTATTTATCATTTCGGATTTCTACAGATTTATTAGAAAAATCCTTTCAGAAACTAAAAATTTGAACTTAGCTCTACTCTATTAGAGAACCTAAAGAGAAGTCTCTGATCAAAATGCACTTTTTCTTGAAAACGAACTTTCTCAATTGTTTTACATGACCGTGAAAAGGTCAAACATTGTTCCTATTTCAAAATAAAAGGCAAAGCAACCAGACTATTTAATTTAAATTGATTACAATAGGTGATTTTCCACATTAATCGTTTGAATAAGAAAACAATTATTAATGCCTTCATTCAATTTACTAATTTAATCAAATAAATAACAGACACAACAGATATACAAAGAGGTTAATAGAAAAAAAATCATATTGGATTTCTTCATATGAAAATACTGGCAAAGAGTTCGTCTGTCTCGATATAAAAATTCAAAAACTATTTTCCTCTTATAAAACCATGATCATATGATGCCCGATCTGTTGCACCTAATCATACTAATTGAATATTGCTTGATGCAAATCTTGCGATCAGCAGTTCATACGAGTAAGAGTTCTGGACTAATGACTATTTGAATTGAACTGAGGCCATTTGAAAAAAGAAACATAAATTAAATTTGAATAAATATACTCTCCCAAAGCTTCATAGGAGAGTGTGGGTTTAGGGTATGGATTAAGAGAATGGTCAAACCCACACTCATACTCCGACCTCTGTCATACACACTCTTGAATGTTTTTTTTCTGAGAAGTCAAATCATGTGCAGTAACAGAGCGATCGATTCTAAATTGTTACCTATACATGAAGAAAATAAAATGTAATTTACTTCAACTCTATCGAGTGGAACTAGCTGAAAAGAAAAAATTCCAAATGCGACTTGAAAGCAACGTACAGAACAAAAATTCGATGCCAGTAAAACCGTAACGCACACATACTTGGGTTGTATAGATTCTCTTCTGAATGAAAAACATTCCGACAAAAATCAACACTTCGATATGGACATGCAGAACAAAACTATTGTAGACGATACAATTGCTAAACATTTTTGTTTAGTATCAGATGAGATGGAAGCAAAAGTGCTTCAGTAAGTAGCGAAAATAAACATGGTATTGATGATGGCACATGGTAGACGTCTCTTGTATGAGCAAAGATGTTTCATTGTCAATTTCTTTCAGATAAAATGCATGACTTCAAATTCTAATAATTTAACGACGACACTATCTAATATTTCTGTGCAAAACCGAAGTCGGTCATTCACTGTTTCTACTGAACCTAGTCGAGAGTCCATCGACGAAAATGTTTCCAGTTTTGATGGGCAAGCACAAATAGTTCCGGACGGCTTGTGTAAGTAAAAATTGTTATGCTAGAAAAGCTTTATAAATCTCGATTATTTGCGCGTATCAAAAGCGACACATGCAATTGAACTCGATAGAATTAAATAAAAAGTTATTGTGCTCAACTATTGCATGCATTAAGTCTATCTCATCGTTCAGGAAGTCAATTGCAAACAGGAGATTAACGCTAGAGATTTATGCTTTCTCTCTCGATTGTTCAACACTACAGGATTAGTAAGAGAATCTTAGATTGAGATTAATCGAAACTTTGTCTAGAGTATGCTCGCTAGGAAACAACAAACTGGCTACCATAAATGGATCTCAATCTATTCTATAAGTCAAGCTTAATAATATCAGTCAAAATTTAAAAGACATCATCTAGATGCATTACCTGTCTGGAACTGTGAACTGGAGCACAATATATATGAAAAATCGAACAAGAGAACAAAAAACTGAGATTTTACTTAGAAACATTTCTCAATCATAACACTAGATGAGTAGTGTGTGGTAACAGATCACTATCAACTTGTTCTATTCAATCCCAGCTATTGGGTAGAACGTGATCGACTGATGTAGTTTAGTCAAATGTCAGTTGTAAGAGATATTTGACTATGAAATCGGTCAATATAGAACGAAACGTTTCTCACAATATGTAAAATTTCTTTGTACTAGTATGCTACTATAAGAAAAGCTAAGGCCATACTGATAGCTGATATTATGGATATCATTGATCCTAATTTTTGGTGTATATTCATTTTCTGTGAACTATTTCAGAGTTATTATTTTGTAGCATTCTATGCTGTCATTTACTGTCTCATACCGCGTAGTAAACAAAAATATGTTTTGTGATCCGAATGTGATTCGTTTTTCTTTATATCTATGATTTTGTGATGATATCCATAGAAGAATAAAACATGCTGCATAGAATTTCTTTATCTATGTTATTCTTTGGTTTTTGAAAATATATAGTATCGATTTTATAGTTTCTCTCTTTATCTTACAAAAAAATTGATCACCGTCTAATGGTAGTAAACAGTTTTCAATTCTTACGTGTGGGTGTCATTTAGCAGAGAATCTGTCATATCTTATTGTAGAGCTTAATGCAATTGAAGAAGAACGGTTGATGACTGTGGTCCTTACGTATGAGATACGAGAAAATGATGTTCAATGCCTTCGCAAACTTAAAAATTTCGAAATTGTCGTTCTTTGCGACAATTATTGGATAATGACAAGTGCTGTTGATGGAACGACATGTACTCACTGGGATGAGTTACGAGTATTTGTACGTTTGGTTGTGGAGATCGGTACGACATTCGACTCCAACGGAACAGTGGCGGAGCCAGGATTTTGGGCTATGGGGGCTCGGCGTCCTCCCCTCTCGCAACGAAATTTTTGATGCGTGCATTTTGTTCATTAGGGTGGCTCACAGATCCGTAGAGAGGGCTGAGTTCCTCTCATGGATAAAATACACATATCAAAAATCTCGCTAATGGAGGCTTAAAAGTTCGTAGGAGGGGCTGAATTCCCTAATCCTCTGGCTCCGTCACTGGAATGGAAGGGTGTGGGTTTGAGTACTGTTTTCCTTTCAATCATAACCACATTCACACCTCACCCACACTACACAATACACATCCACACTCATACTGTTTCTAATGAAAATTGATCAACTGATTGAGAGCATGAAGAGAAAAATGAATTATCTCAAGGATAAACATATATTATCTCAATGGAAAAAGCATTCATGCATATATCGACAATCATAGCATTTAACATCAACACTTCGTTCCACTCTAGCGTTATCAGTAGAGCCTGCCCAGTTGGTCTCGAACTCATGTGAGTCGGAGGTATGAATGTATCTGTTTCCCTGCGAGTGCGTTCTTTTTATTCAAACACACACCTACATCCGCACCCACACAGTCCATATCTACACTCACATCCACAGCTATACCCACCGATACATCCACACCCTCCAATTGCTGCTTTTCCATCAAGGCGATGTTCATTCGATGAGCTTTAATGAGTAATAGAAAAGTCTAGAATGGTTTGGTTTTGAAAGTCTTCCTTCTTGTGACATGGAGATTTTACTAGGTTTGTCAATAAAAAACTGTGATTCCCCGTCAGATTACTGAAAAAGGACTTTCGAGTTTTCATTTCAAAATTTGTACACGCAGAATGCTTAATGATATTAGACCACTGAGCAAGTTGTAATTTTTCTAATACCTCCTATCCTAAGATATTGAAGATTCGAAATTGTCTCATGTATAAAAATGAATGTCAGTCAGGTATTTATATCTGCGAAAGAAAATATTAGAAAAACTAAAACTTGCACAATTCACTAATTTTTATTAAGAACTCTATTCGTCTAAAGTTTGAAGTGGAAACTCGAAAGTCGATTTTCCCAGTTACCTGAGGGGTGAGATCGCGACAGCTTGTCTTTTTAAAACCCAGTAAATTTTCGAGAACTCGAGAACGAACATTCAGAAAACCAGACTATTCTAGACTTTTCTCTTACTCGATAAGGCTTATGAAATAAACATCGTGTCCATTGAAAAGCGATTAGATCTCTGAAAAAGTTTTCTCGCAATCTCTACTGATCGATTTAAACCTCTAATGTCATTCTATTAAACAATGAGTGGTAGAAAAACCAATGAGTTAAATGTTAAAAAGCATTCTTTTCCTTATTTTCTCAGTTTGAAAAGTAAAAAAAACAACAAACTTCATCTTTATTTCATCTGAAAATGATGCATAGCTCATCAATTGAAATTTGCTTTCCCGTTCTACTCGTGAAAATTATATAAGCAATGAGACATAATCGCTGTTCGTAGAGAAACAAAAAAAAAAAATAACTCCAAAGCCATGTTTATTTCATGATTATTTTATTAATAATATTTACACAACAACAAGAAAAATCTATATGTACATAAAAAAATCATAATAACCAAATTTCTATAGTTTTTCCATTATTTTTAGCATTAATTCTTTGTTCATTGAGAATATGATTAGGAAATGTTTGACGACGTTTTTTAATAAGATAATCACATGTAACAGAATCATCGAGTAATGTATCCTGTCTATAATTAATGTTAAGATCAGATAAATTTGTTAAATGAATAATAAATATCTCAATAAGATGTACATAATCATCAAATAAGCACACTTGAAGTTCAATATGACTAAGTGATGGAAAACGTTCAAGAAATTGTGATGCACAATTTAAAGGAAAATAAATATTATTTGTTATTGATTCGATTATTTTAATTTGCTTGAAAATTGGAATAAGAAATTCATTATCGATTAATTCTGATAAAAGTAAATATTCACTACTAATTATAAGATTCATCACATTTGGACATGCTCTAAAATGGAATAGAATCATTTCTTTTTGAAATAGAAATTCTTCTTCTTTTAAGAATTATAGAATCGATTTGAAGATCTTCAAAAAAAAAAGATTTTCTTTGAGACTAGTCAAAAACGAAATATTACTTCAATACATATTAACAATACTTACTGTAGTATATATTGAATATTTCTTCATAGAGTAGTACCAAACGCTGGTCGAAATTCTATTTACGTTACATTAGGTAAATGAACAAAATGTGAAAAACAATCAACACTTTCTTGTGCATAATAATTAAATTTTGTTTGATGAGAATTAACTGAAAAAGAAATCAACTTTGTCTATATTTGACAGAAAAACGAATTATTTTTCTTAAATAGATTTTACAACCAAAATAAAGAATATATATATCCTTCATACCAATGTCGAATAGATTGTTTGACAATGATGAACGTATTGATGGAAGCTGTATGATAAGATATTTGATTACTTGAAATAAAGAACAAGGCCAAGTAACTTTTTGTCTATTTATCAAACATAATCCTAATTCTATTTCATTTGAATAAAAAAGATGATGATCCTTTATTGTTGTTGTTTTTGTTGATCGTGTCTTAAATGATCCACAAAAAATAAAAGGAATATTTAAATATCCATTTGATTTATGTTTATGATTGTTTGATGTTCGTAACATGATAAATTCTTTTGAAAGAAGAAGAAAAACACATGTTATGTTTAAATATTAGCACAAACATTTTTTTGTAAAAATGAAAAGAAAAATTAACATCTTAAATTGGTTAAGTTCTTTTATTATCATTTTTTATGAATGAATAGAAGAATTTCGAGTATAGTTTAAAAGTTAGAAAGTAAAAATTCTGAAGTCATAAAGAGAATAATTATTATTTCTTCTATTTTCTTTTTTATTTGATTTTTTCAGACAGTCCATAAAAGCCACGACTGAAGTCGCTTAATCGAGGTTGTTAGATTTTGTTCGATTTGAGATATGTTGTAAAGGAAAGAGTTTTAAGAATTTTTCCGCAAGCTGTTGGAAAAAATGCTATTTCGTTCTCGAACTATTTAAATTTTTCTGAGGGTATTATCACCAAAAAACAAAACACATTTTTTGTGACTTTTTTTTATTTATTAACATTCATATTATACCAAAAATGCATCGTGGTTATTTTTTTAATGTGTTATGGGTAGACA